CGGACTCAGGTCAGTCAGTGTTATTCATCGTGTTGATGAACCAGTTGGACATGTTGGCTGAGCTGATGCCTTAGGGTCACAAACTGCATCTACATCAACTGCATCAGGCTCCCTTTGTTTTCTCTGATAGAATTATGCATCCCGAGCCGCACTAACACACAATATCAGCTTTTCCTTTGTGTCTGACTCGATTCCTCATTTCTGTTGGACACACGAGTGTCCATCACAGCATGTGAGCATGTGAAACACTTGTGCACGAATGGGTTTGAGAACACAGCTTTGCCACTGGTGCTGAGGATGAATGTCAGAACCATTTCAGTGAGTCACAAATGTCTTTTAACACCAGAGAAAAACATTTTATTCTCCAACAGTGAAAGAAAATAAATCTCTTTTAATCTGATTTGTCCTGGATTTATCGAGTTTCAGCTCTTTGTGTTTCTTGGCCGTTCTCAGCACAAAACCTGAGTGACGACATGAGGGTTTCTATGCAGGTTAAACTGATCTGGATCAATGTGTGTGACCTCTGACCTCTGCAGCAGGATTAGTGGAGTTTACTCAGCAATTCACTTGAAGAGACCTGGTCCAGTTTGTGGTTTTCAGGGTCAAGCTCCAGAGACTCAGAGACACAAACCACTGTCTCCTGGATTCAAAAAAGAAGAAAAACGTATCTAATACTAAAGCTGCTCTCACTCTGAACATTTTAGAATTGTTGTTGTTGAATTTCCACTCAAACTGAATGAGTGAAAAACAAAACTCACCATTTATGTTCTCACACTGTTCGTACCCATCGACTCCTCTGGATCCTGGTTATTGTCACAGGTCAAGTGAAATATTTCTAAGCACGGTACAAGTACTAGTGTTTTGAAATGGATGCAGGCATCCACTGGTAACCAGTGAAGGGAGCGGAGGAGCGGGTCCCCACAGCTTCTGCATTCTGGAGGAGCAGCAGAGGTCGGATACATTAGAAGGTAGACCAGCCAGGGGGAGTTGCAGTTGTCATCAGTAAGGGTGAGATGACCAGAGCCTGGACCAGAGCCTGAGAAGGGGACGTATTCTCCTGATGTTGTGCAGCATGTATCTACACGAGCAGATTGTTGCAGTAATGTTGGCAGTAAGGGAGAGTTGACTGTCCAGTGTCACACCCATGTTCCTAGCAGTTGAGGTGGGGGCTACCACGGAGTTGTCAACGGTAATAGTCAGGTCATGGGTGGGAGCGACTTTCCATGGAAGGAAAAGTAGATCGGTCTTGTCAAGGTTAAGGTCATTTCAGTCCTGTTAGTTTTATTTTCATTTTCAACTAAACCTGTTTTATTGTTATTTCTTTAAATAACTGATATTAAATGTTTCCTCTGTTTGAACTGAACACTTCTTTTTTATGACGTGTCGTTCTGTTTAAACAGTCACAGTTATTATAACTTTCAGAGTTATAATAACTGTTCAGAGCACAGCCTACAGCACATAGTATGTTTTGTGTGTATCTGTTGGAGATAAAGTTGTTTAATCAGAATGGCAAATGTAAGTGGAGCTCGATTTCCTCTGCACTGTGGTTCTCCTTTCTCCTTCCTTCCAGCTTCTCCTTCTCATTTTTCCTTGACCTTGTGACATTTGAGGGTCAATGATTTAGACTGTAAGAACACACACAACAACAATTGACATTTTAAGTGTTTGTCTGCATCAGTAGCTGATTGACTGCAGACTAATTGTGATGTCATGAACCTGCAGGTACAGTCCAGGTGTTAAACAAACAGTGAAGTCAGGTCTTTCTGATGTGATGTATGTTTTATATCACGTTTCAGCCATGAGCAGAATATTTTATGACTTACAAACATGTGTAGGTACCTGAACACATCACCTGAATCCTCCTGACCCTGATCAGCTGCTGTCTCCTCCTGCAGAGGCGTCATCGCCATCAACTCCAAGCTTAGCTTTGAGCTGCAGCCGCAGGAGGGTGACCACCATCACCCCCGCCAGCAGGGGGAGGAGGAGCGGGGAGGAGGGGAGAGTGGAGGAGACGGCAGTGGAGGTAGTGGAGGCGGAGAAGGAGGTGAAGAAGAAGAAGGAGTCCACCTATTGTTCTCCACTAGTCCTCTGGAGGGAGATGGTGCTGGAGGCTGCGGGGTGTCACACACCACTGTCCCCCCGATCCACACCTTCACTCACACACACAGGGTGAGATAGATGCCCCCCCCCAAAAAACCAAACAAACAAATTAAATGAGACTGCATTTCACTGAGAAACAGCCAATCACAGAGCTTCATGTGCTGAAGCTTGTTCTCTCTTTTGTCCTTTGCAGAAAAAGAGAGACATCCTGTCAGAGACCAAATACATCGAGCTGGTGCTGGTGGCTGATCACCAGGAGGTCAGTGTGTGTGTGAGTGTGTGTGATTGTTCAAACTTACTGAACTTTAGGAAACACAAAGATGTAATAACAGAGGGAGAAGATGAAATACGACTAAAATTACAAAATGAGCTTCATGAAAACACTAGCTAACACGTTACACTTTAACGGTGAACTCACCTGTCTGTCTGACTCACCTGTCTGTCTACATCTTACCGGTGAACCCATGCACTTCTGAGGGCGGCGTGTCTTTGTGACATAGTTATCTGAAGCTTTTCTGTAAACAAATCTGATTAGTTTCCTTTGAATTAATTACAGTAAATATAAAAAATGAATACAAATATCTGTTTACCTGCAGTAACATCTTTTCAACACTAAGTGGCAGCAGTGATGGTAGTTCACTGTGTTTAAATGCTAATGCGTCACATGATCGTCTCTCATCTGTTCGTCTCAGTTCATGAATTATCAGAAGAACAACAACACCATCATCTACCGCATGCTGGACGTGGCCAACCAGGTGGACTGGGTAAGACCTCTGATCTTTGACCTGTAAGCTGCTCATCACTGAACCAGTGGAAACCAGATGCTCTCTCTTGTCCTTCAGTTCTACCGTCCTCTGAACGTGCGGGTGGCTTTGACCGGTCTGGAGATCTGGAGCGACCGAGACAAGATCCAGGTGGAGAAGAGTCCAACAGACACACTCAACAACTTTCTGGAGTGGAGAACAAGAGAGCTGCTGCCACGCCTTCGACATGACAACGCCCAGCTTGTCATGTATGACAAGAACATTTACCAAAATAAAAGCGTCAGTCCTGCTGTAATAATCACGAGTAGCGTTTCGTTTTATTGTGCAGGGGCGGGTCATTTGACGGCACCACAGTGGGGATGGCGTCTCAGTCGTCCATGTGCTCCAGAGACAGGTCTGGTGGAGTCAATGTGGTGAGTTTAAGTAACTGACTTATCCTGCACCTCAGAGTTGGATTACATACAAACACAATTCTCTGTATCTGTCTCAGGATCACTTGGTCAGCGTCTTGGGCGTGGCCTCCACTGTTGCGCATGAGCTTGGTCACAATTTGGGGATGAGCCACGACACGGCTGAACGCCGCTGCTCCTGCCAGAACGAGCCGCGGCTAGGAGGATGCATCATGGAGCCATCGACTGGGTCAGCACCAGATATATTAACTGGGGCCAGTGTGGGTTTGGCGAGCAGCCATTTCCTGCTCTCTGAATTTGTCATTGCGTGTGACCTTCAGGTTCATGCCAGGTCAGCAGTTCAGCAGCTGCAGCGCAGCAGATCTGTCCATCAGTCTGCTGCACGGAGGCGGGATGTGTCTGTTCAACATCCCGCAGCCCGATCGCCTGCTGGGAGGACCTCGCTGTGGAAACCTGTACTTGGAGCGAGGAGAGGAGTGTGACTGTGGCCTGCTGGAGGTACCTGTCTGTCTGCTTGCCTGACTCAACTGTCTGTCTGCTCACCTGTCTCTCTGGCTCACCTGTCTCTCTGACTCACCTGTTTCTCTGACTTACCTGTCTGTCTGACTCACCTGTCTGCCTGTCTCACCTGTCTGTCTGACTCACCTGTCTGCCTGACTCACCTGTCTGTCTGACTCACCTGTCTGC